CTGACGTATACCAATGTATACGATATAAACACAATACATCTTAAGGCTTAATAAATTCAAATACGTGGGTTTGGCGGGCCTGTGATGTTTTCAAAATCCCCCAAGACACTGAACCGAATATATACCACTCAACCCTCCTCTGTGAGATGCAGCATTGGTACGTGGGGGTATTTGTCGTTCCATTAGTCTACGACCCCAAAGTTCATCATCTGTCTCTAGATTCTTGCAGTTCGGTGTTCGTTTCCAATGAATAAAATCAATGTTTTCCCTTAAATTACAGTGCATCGATTATTGCCGTGTTGGATGCTGCTGTTCAAGCAATCTGCATTGCATGACCAGAGCAAAGGATGTCATTGGGGTAAGGCTACGATAAACTGATCGTAGCGTGGGGCCCTTCATCTGGCACTGATAAAAATCGAAACATGTTTTTTGTGCTGTAGAATCCATTTCCTACATTTGCTCTGTCTGTTGAATCTCGCTTAAACACTCCCCGAACGTGTCTGTCGTTCGTTACTCTGAAACCAAACAGGATTAGTTTCACATGTGATCAGAATTAGTACAAGTATTTTTTGCAGTACCTTATACAGTTCGTGAATCTAATGTATGTTCTTTGTTAATAATATGGTCATGTGATTACATATTTCTTGAATTCTTTGTGGAAATACAATTAGTTTAATAGTCTCTTTCATTTCAGTCTTGCGAATGATTTCCTACTGAAGGGACATTACTGAAATTCCCCACATAAAAACCTCAATAATCATCACAATTATGATAATTTGTTAGACTCCTGTACAGCAGCTAGACAGCACGCGTGTCTTCGGATGGGTCGGCGTTGTGTCTCTGGGGCGAACGACTGATATAGGCTGCTGTTGCATAGTAAAATTAAGATTTAGATAAGAACGTCGATACAACGCAGCGGCCTAACACATGTACATTTGTAATCCCAATATTTTCTTCTTTCTGTGTGGGAAGAAACATGTACAGATTTGCTCTAGTTTAGACCATCATTGTATTACAACGTCTGTTCAAAAACAAAAGCACCTTCCCAAAGTCCATAGTTGTGTATGTACATCAAGAGAGCTCATGGTGTATTTACAATCAGAGAGCATTTGGACAATGGTTGTTGTTGTTGTTTTTTGTTAGGAATAGTAGTATACTGCCTTTGTAGGCCGTCACACACACCAAGAGCAAATGTAGTTCGCCTTTACACTTTCAAAACATAATATACATAATCGTACTTGTTTGCTGATAGTATACATGTCATGTTCATTCTCTGAATGAATGTATTAACTCTGCTACCAGGAAAGGTCAAGGTTCCCTGAATATCAGTACTACATTTTGTTTTTGAGAAAATACATATTGATTAAAAAATATATTGATTACAATGCTTCTGGAAGGTCCGACTATCTTTAGTATGGTCCTTCATGGAACAGCATTGATAACACATACCAAAAACAGACATATGTACAATGTCTTTTACTTTGACATTATAAGTTCATGACGCAGTTACGAACGTTTTATCACCGTATCGAATTTATGCACCAAATGTGTGATTAATGTGTTGCCACGTAGCTAGACATGAAACGCAATCATGTAATTTCCAGATATCACAAAACACCCACAAGATACTATAATGATTAACACATGCACGTTTTAACGAGAACGACATAACTGACTTAACTATCGACAAACCCTATTAATTCTCATGATAAGAAAACAATGAATGTTTATAGGTCATGTGCTTGATTTATAATAATATTATTTACGTCCAACTCATTCTGTTATCCTGCAGTATGACGTACTAGTATTATAGGCATAAGATTATTGTAGCAAAGTACCATAATCTCATGCCTATAATACGCTTGCTACAGTAATAGATATACAATTAACATTATTCATAACAGGTGATTAAGAGGTGATGAGATACAAATTATGAGAGGATTTAATAATATATTTAAGATATGAAGTCATTAATAACGTTGTAAGGTAGGAAATCAGTAACGGAGGTAATAAACATGAAAGTAGGTCGTTAGAGCTGATGAAGGCAAGGTGAGGTGACTCATAGCTTTGGTAAGGGGAAAACTACTACACTATCAAGATGGAACAACGTGGCCGGGGACCTTGCTGCCAGTTCTTGGTATCTTACGAGTCATATATGGTTAGGGGAGAGACACGGTCTTACAAATATGGTATTGGGGGTACGAAATAGAGGTTGGGGAGAGTAATAGATAGTCAGGTTATGGGTTATTGACCAATAGAAAAAATAGAAAAGGGTGTTGGCTGTGACGTAGGAACCCAGTTTTAAGCTGGAGCAAAGCTCAGAAACGGGAGTCTGGTGCGGGCCTACTCTTGATGTTGGTCACTAGGAATCGTCTCCGAAATTATCTTGAAGCACCAGCATTTGGCTTAAGAATGAAGCTTTGCGGCTGAAGTCTTATAGAGTGACCATAGAGTAGGTTGACCAGCAACACAGTGTTAATAAAAACTATTGAACGAAGATCATCGTCTTGTGTTTGCTGGAGGGACTACGGTAAAGTTCCAAGGGCCCCTGGGTACTGACACTGTACCTCTCGCACATCTCTTATCGTCAGGACCGAAGTACGGGGGTATACCGTAGTTCAGGTAACGACACGCCATCCCAGGTGTGGTCTACCGACAGGTAAATTCCATCTACCTACCAGGTAAAGGTGCTAGTCGGAACGCCTTGGAAACTAGAACCTGTAGACTACTGGCTATGGCGTCAAGTAGCCATGGCCACCAACTGAAGATTACAATTCAACCAATGCCATCCTGAGAGCAATAAGTGTTATCCACACGTTAAAACCATTAACTGGTGAGTTACATTCAATACACACAGGATTGTGTAGTGGGCCTGTCCCTACTGGTATATATTTTATTGTGTTCATTTTCCATATCTCATGAAATGCACTTTGAAGTTTGTAAAGTGTCTGTCTGTCTTGCTATGCAATAACATTTAGGACAAACGTTATACCGCCGGAAGCAAATGTTTAACACAAATGCAGTCAGAATATTATTTGATACGTGATAGGTTTAGTTTGTAAAATACCACTTTAAGCCTAGAATGAAACATTTGTGATAATAGTCATGACACAACAGTGTGTGCCATCTATATAAACTACAGGACAAGAAATGTTACAACTCTATGGATATCAGGCTAAACGTGGTTATTAACGTTATACTCATTCAGTCATCGTAAAGTATCAGCTTTACAAACTACACCGAAATGTTGCTCTATGCAATATACTGAAACATCAACTTCTAGAATGTCGATGAAACAATTCAAAGAGAGAACACACTACATATGATGACAGAAGATCGGCTGTATATTGTTCGAGAAGATTATAGCTGCTGAAGATTCCTACCAAAAGAAAGTATTCATTGGTTTCCTTTAGAAGAAAATACCTAGACCTTTATGTTGTGCTGTCGGCTCAAGCTGGATGTTGATTTACAACTCAAATAATGGTACAGAGAGATTCGCTACATTCATTATAATCTGGTAACTATTACCAGATCTGATTGTTGCTGGTCACCTATATTTGCCTTTTCCTGTCTTAGATATCAACGTTCTAAATTTGAAAAAAAATCTGCAAAATATTCTTGTCTGGCTTTGTTCGGAAGACAACCTTTGTTTATAATATTTATTTTTTGTGTCTGTTGTTTAACGTCGCTATATGGCGGCGGTCTGTAAATAATCGAGTCTGGACCAGACAATCCAGTGATTACCAGCATGAGCAATGATCTACGCAATTTTTGATACGATGATATGTATCAACCAAGTCAGCGAGCCTGAAAACCCGATCTCGTTAGTCGCCTCTTACGATAAGCATGGGTTTCTGAAGACCAATTCTAACCCGGATCTTCATGGGGCCAGTCTTTGTAGAAAGTTGCCAGTTGACAATTATTATTGCTTCTTTTAGCTATTCTTGGTGTATTGATATCTTACCAATATCACATAATTCAACATCACATGGCCCCAAACCAAAAATACAGCCGACTCTTAACTGCCGTGTTTCCCTTCGATTCGCCCTCCAAGACCTTCTATATCACATCAATGTATTAATCAAAGGTCTTCTGTCGGTCTCAGACGCCGAAACTATGTCGGTAAGCTTAAATCAATTTGTCAGTTGGATTGGAACAACTGAATAGTTTCAATATCTATGATAATGCTTTTCGCCATTTATGACAGAAGGATAGTGACTGTTTTAAGGCATTTGCCACCTGGTAAAGTATTTCCCCGACAAACAGCAATCATTTCACACGGTACATGTAGCAGTCGAGTCCTCTTTAGGTCTGGAATTCATTGACATATAGCTCCATGTATTCAGTTCATTATTTTATTATTTGAATGAGTGAGTTTAGTTTTACGCCGCACTCAGCAATATTCCAGCTATAGACGGTGGTCTGTAAATAATCGAGTCTAATTGCTGCAGCACAATGTAAAGTATCTAGATTACCCCAACAAGAGGAAACTCAACTAATACATAATGAAGTGGTCCAAAAGCTATAATCTTGAAAGATAATACCTTGTCAGAACAGAGTGTCATAAATTCACTTGTCGGGGGTTCCTTAAACACTGGGATAACATTACACGCAACGAATTTTATGTTCTGAAAAATGGATCTATCCAGGACACCAGACTTCCATACAGGAAAGGATACAGTTAACCATACTTTATCCAGAATATGTACAAATTATGTGTCCCTCAGCTTTACTGGCCGCATCAAGATATACCATGCCTGCACATTCTTTCTCTCTTGCTCTACGAACCCTTAGTTACCGCCAGACACTATTGTTGAGGAGATACGAACTTTGCATGTGGAAACTTGCAAGTGGTAATGCTATGTGGTTCTCCGTCGCTGTAGGGAACTGTATAACGTTTCTAAATGATAGAAATAAATACCTCCATATTCTTTTCGCCAATTATTCCTTCAACTATTTTCCCGAAGGGACGAAACAAGTCAAATACCTACCATTCACAGGCACTACAAACACAAGAACAACAAACACAAGCACAACATCCACAAGACCATCAAACACAAGATCCACAAGACCATCAAACACAAGATCCACAAGACCATCAAACACAAGATCCACAAGAACATCAAACAAAAACATCAAACACAAGTTCAACATCCACAAGAACATCAAACAAGAACATCAAACACAAGCTCAACATCCACAAGAACATCAAACAAGAACATCAAACACAAGCTCAACATCCACAAGAACATCAAACACAAGCACAACATCCTCAAGAACATCAAACACAAGCACAACATCCTCAAGAACATCAAACACGAGCACAACATCCACAAGAACATCAAACACAAGCACAACATCCACAAGAACATCCAACGCAGCACAACCTCAACAAGAACAAAAAAACAAGAAGATCAAACACAAAATCATCAAGCACAAGAAACATCAAGCACAAGATCCACAAGAACATGAACCACGAGAACAACAAACACAAGAACAACAAACTCAAGCAGAATCACTCACTGGGATTATAAAGATGCTCGCGATATGGAAATAGAAAAACGTCATCATCTTTATAAAAACCCATATAGCGTTTTCGTTGAAACATCGTCTTTAACCATCACTTTAACACCCATAGAGGTGGTGCCTCGATCACAGACAGTGGTGTCTAGCGCTGTAAGTAAGGTTACCTCAGTTAAGAGACAAGTGTTTATTTTCTAGATTACGCGATGTCGTGAACTAGACTGAATGTGATCAGAATGGATCAGCCGTTTGACACTGTAAGGTGTGTTGGTCTATTGGATTTCAACCGACGTCTTCTGTGATCCCTTTATGCTGCAGTTTGTCTGTTCTAGAATCAACATAGCACTGCGGGGAGCTGTTAAGATCCAGATTCACATTCCAGGGCATTAGGTGACGTGAGGTGATGTGGGGCTTAAGGTCGCGTTCAAGATTATTTCACTTTTATAGAGACATGCACGCACCTACGCACGGGTCAAAATAGTCATGATTTAAAAGACTGCGAATTAATAGATGATTATCTTTCTGATGCCGAGTGATGGTTTCTAAAACGAAACATCTTCACAAGTACAAACGACAGTCTCAACCATATATATAGCTATTGCCAGTAACAGACTACCTTTATGATGTTTGATAATCTTTTTCATCAAAAGAAATATCTGGATTGTATCTTACAAGATACCAGCTACATATACATAATGGCAGTATTCATGGGGTAATCACCTAGTATTGTATAAACTTCCCCGTTTGTCCTCTAATACTTTACCCTTTAGATATGACTGTTCGCTTAAAGTAAGTGCCGCTCATACACAGCTCATGGTAAGCATTCTCTCTCTTGAAACACTGATAACAAAATCTTGGTTTCAGATAAATCCCTATTTTAAATATTTGGATTTGTCCCATTGTTGTGATAAAGTCGGAATAGTACAGGGAAGTGTGCTTCTGGCATAGATTTCTTTTGGATATTGGCATAGATGTCTGTGGAAAGGGTTTAGATGCTTTGGGTCATCTGTAAATAGGCACATGTTTTCCTATCTGCGTTTTCTCTTTAGCATTTTCGGACGCCTTCAAGCATGACCACTTTCTTGATGGCTACGTTTGTGTGACTAGGCAGGTTCCAAATGTGTATGGTCTGGGATCTTTAGAGAAGGAGGATTTGTTCTATTTCCCTTATTCCTCAATCTATGAAAAGTAAAATAGTTCCTCAACGTTAATATTCAAGGCAAACATAGGTTTTAAGATATTTCATTCTTTGAATCGGAAATGGACCAAATTGCTTTTTTCTGCTTCATTAACTGTGATAAACGTTGTAACTACTCCACGGTTTGATAACTGTGATGTAGAACTGCAAATACCCTTGTCATTAGACACGCAAACACTTAAATCAGCCTGTCATAACTGTATTTTGTCAAATCAATACTTCGCTTAAGCCTCTACCAGCTCTTACGCCTCCACGTTTTATTGCTTCTTTGTAATGTCACAGGCATTGCCATCAGTTGGACAAATGGGAAGATGATGGTTGAGTTGGCAGCATGATGGGACTTCAGATTTGAGGAATCAGGCAATTGAATAACATCTCATTGCTAAATGCTTGCACAGAATCTACAGTTGTAGGTCAAGGGTACCAATCTGAAATTCATGTTTTGCTGTCCGACCTAATGAACTATTCCCACTTGTTGTACTGATCACCTAAATATGTCACGATTATGACATCAAGTATTCCGACTTGTCATATTTTGTTCTTAATGTCATCTTGCATTACCAGCCCAAGGAAAGTGTCTTGATTCCGACAGTTTGAGTGTGAGGAATGACATATTAATGAGTATCAGTTAACGACATACAACATTTAGGTTCTCTCGGCGGTATTTAGGGTATTTCTACTTGGTGTATTGGTAACGTCATTGGTAACGTCATTGGTAACGTCAGTCCTGTGTCCAACATATGTATCCCGTTTGTGTCTTGTTGTTTGTAAACATTCCGAGACAATTTGCCTTAAACGTCACTAAATCTGCCTTTAAAATCTAATCTTTTAAATCAATCAAACAAATATGGATCAAATACATCTTAGACGTTCACACACCGTCATTCAGTTCTGACTTCAATACGAAACGTTACCAGGTATTAAGATGCGACTGTGTTTATATAAACAGCTAGTCGTGATTTATGAAACATTTATTCATTTTGTTCTTTGAAGCAGGTTTTGTGTGTAGTGATAAAACACAGCTTTCAACAACGTCTACAACCTTGCCATCCAAAGCTGTTTTACCAAACTGAACTCCAGACATTCAACTGAGGCTTTCATTGAAAAGATTTCGTAATGTTTCAAGTTTTTGCAATGAGAGTCTGTCCACACAGGGATAAAGAAACCCCAATTCACATCATTCAGCACAAACCGATCAAATTTGAGCTTCAACGATGACCTGACCAAAACGCCCAATCAAAGAGTTTAGAATTGTTTTTGCTCGAGCATTTATATATAACAGACACCTCTTCGAGGCATCAATGTATTAATCAAAGTTCTTCACGTTTCTTCATATTGCACCAGTCGGCGACAAAATGGCACTTCTAACATTTATTGAACAAATAGTCTCCCCTGCATCGGTAAGCTTTAATCAATTCGACTGAAGTTGGGTCATACTTGAAACAGTTTCAGGGTTCCTTTATACGAGAACAGACTAATGTGTAGGCCTTTCGATGCTGAACAAAGCGGAAGTGAGTAGACTTCGGATTCCTGCCCTGGGGAATGCTTAGTTCCAGCAGGTTACCATATTGTATACATGAATAAGCAGTTCCAGGTTCATAGTAACATATCACTGACTTCGAATCCGAAAAATGGAACATCTTTCCACATCCTTGAATACAACGCCATCTACTGATCAGACTTATTAATCATTTCACGCTCTCTGAACAACTCGTTCAATCTTTCCGCTCCATCTATCAAGAAACCTAATTTCTCGTCTCTTATTTTTTCTCTGTCATTCTCTTTTCAGTAGCTGACTTTTCTCTTCTTGTCATCGGAATTTATACTTTTCACGCTACAGTTAGGTGAGTAACGGTACTTGAAAGAAAATGGGTATCACTGTGAGGACTCTTCATCACGAATCTCACAAATCACGTCACAGTATTCGCCTCATTAGTGTAGAACAGGACTCAACTCGGACATAATTCACTCTCTCGATCTACAAGGTTTTGATCAAAGTCAAACCCTCACTGGACTAGATGTGTTGACTGGGTGAGTGATAGGAGCCACTAGATTCCTTCATTTATCACCCCAACAGTACATTATATGCTTCACCGGAAGATGGTGTGATGCCTATTAAAGATAGACTGAAGTCAGACACGTTTCCTCATGACCTGTCTCATTCACTCATACGTGGACACAGGGCATGGGCGTCACAGTCGTCCAGGTTCCTGTTAAGTAAAGTGTGTGCACAAGGTACTGTCAAGAAACCTTTGAATGTCTTGGCCTTGTTTCCAGGCTCCTAACTGCCATGACAGTGCTGGTGTATTTCACCAAGGTGGTACGCCTCCGGGCCCTTATTCTCGAAACGTTCGTAGACCTAAGAATTCTTAATTTTGACTGTAGCCAATGTGTTAAGAATGGGTTTAAGAAGTTCGTAGGGCTACGAACGTTTCGAGAATTGCTAGCCCGGGCCCCGTTCCTCAAAGTGATCGTAGCGCTACGACAGTCGTAAGTCTATGTTAAAGTATGGGAGTTACGATCACCCTAGCGCTACGATCGCTTTGAGGAACGGGGCCCAGGACCTGCTTCACTTCGGGATTTCCCCCATCATTAACTGACACGTCGTGATATGATGTTCAAAGCACTTTACTCATTCCATATGGAAACATGCTTGCTTACTCTTTTCGCGAACACCTGGTGTCATCACTGACTTTCAGTGATCCAGTCATATAAGATTCACAGCTATATTTCCCATTACACCAAATGGAATTTGTTTCTGAGGTTAGTCCAGAATGGGTTTTCTTCAGCACCGACGTTCTATTTAATCATATAAAACTGATTTTCCATATTAATAAGAATTTAGGTCATTAACTTTGGACACCCTCCTAAAAAGCAAACTTATTCCATCTTGGTGCTACATCTTGGTTTCTACTAGCTGAATACCCATGGCTCAAGATGCCAAGACGCATGGGCTGTGTAACATGTACTCTGTCACAATATGCTTTCTTCAATGCCTTGACAATCACCAGCCTCAATTCTTTGACAAGGAGAAACTGATTCTGTTTCCTGATGTTATCAATAATTCATCAGCTGAGAAAGTAAATCGGAAATAATGTTGTTTTCAATCGTAGACAAGCGATCAGTGATAGTCATGTACACGACAGCGAACATTCGACAGCCAGGAAAGTTGGTTTTGGTTTAAACATACTGCCAGTGATGACATGGATTGAGCACACGTTATCACAAGTATCCAAACGTATTTACAACAATAAAGTGCAAGTACATGACTGTGGTAGAGTCAGACTCAGATGTAGTCAGTGTGAGCAATGCTCAACGTCAGGAAGGTAGCGTGACTTACATTATTGGGGCGGTGGGGTAGCCTAGCAGTTAAAGCGTTCGCTCGCCACGTCGAAGACCCGGGTTCGATTCCCCACATGGGAACAATGTGTGAAGCCCATTTCTGGTGTGACCCGCCGTGATGTTGCTGGAATATTGCTACAAGTGGCGTAAACCTGAACTCACTCACTCACTCACAACATCATGGTCCTAGTTGCAAGGTGAGTCGTGGTTACTGGGTATGTACATGCTGGGCTCGCATCAATGGAGTCTGGAGCGACCAATCGAGAAATGATTTTTTTCTCAAGTTTTTTTCTTTTCCATTTATCAGTTACATCTTTACGACATGAATGACATACACGTCACATGTTTTCCGAATGTACCAAAGGCTTCATTACAATAGAACCTTAACATCAACTAATACAACACTGTA